CCAAGTTGTCTGGCCAGGAAGCCCTCCCTGGGAAAGGCAGCTTTGGCCTCAGCATCTCCACACTTCATGCTTTTAGACGCCATCAGGGAACCAAAACAGCAGGCACTTTGGGCATTTAACATTTGCAGAAACATCAACTGAATTAACTTGGTATCTGAGAAGCAGTTAAGGCTTCTGCATTTATTATCTTGGCTCATGTTACAAAGTAATGAGACAAAGGAGAGGCTGTCCACTGGTATGGCAGAATTAGGAGAGAAATTAATACCTCGTGACTGTGAGCATGACCCTTGGGCCTGACCTGCCATGGCCAAACCATCCTCGAAGGACCCAACCCAGCTCCTCCAGCCTCCCTCCAGACCGTTCTATGATTATCTTGGTGATAGATACCCCAGGGCACCAGGGCTGGGATCAAAACCTCTCTCCTGAGGGAATGAAGCCACAGGCGCCAAGAGGAGGACCAAGGCCCTGGCGAAGGCCGTGGCCTCGTTCAAGTAATCCAGGATAGGCTGTGCAGGTCCCAATGGGCCTATTCTTGGTTACTTGCACGGGGACGCGGGCCTGGACGCCGGCATCCGGGCCCAGGACCTTCCTCTCTGCCAGAGGCACCAACAGCAGAGTTTCCAAGTCAATCTCCCGCCCTTCACATGTAGGAAAGCTTGCTTTCCAAGCAGTATTCCCAGGGAGACTGAGGACCCCAGGCCATACCCGTTGCCTGGCACCAAGAGTCTCACAGGCAAAGTGGGCGCCTGGAGCTACTGCAGCCACAGGCCCTGCCCTCAACCCCCACACTGCCTCCCAGCTCCTCAGAGCCCCGTTGACACACCTCGCCCCCAGCCAGGCCATTCTGCTCCTCTGGCCCCTCGCTCCACTGTCAGTCGGCCACAAGCTTACCACCAAGTCCTGGCTCTGTGTAGAATCCCTCTGCCAGCAGCACCTCCTCTGTATGATAGAGCCCCATTTCCCTCTCATACATCTCCTGTGGGAAACCCAGCCTGTTCCATCTGCTATTCACGGCCCCACACATACTCACCCCAACCTGCCTGTCACACTTCATCTTCAACCGCTACTTCTCCTATCCCCCATCTCCCCTCTTTTATCACTGCCTCTGAAGGGCCAGTCATGGAGGGCTCTGGCCATTCTCTAGCACCCCAAGTATTTTCAGGCCAGGTGTCATGCTTATACTGTTTCCTCTGCCTGGAAGCTCACTTGTCCTTATCAGCCTGGTGAACTCCTATTCACCCTCCAAGGTCCAGGACCGGTGTTACCTTCTGTGATTCCTTCCCCTTGAGAGGGGAATTCATCGTCCTTGATTTATCCTTCTGCTATAACTTTCATTATGCATGTTTATTTTGACACATTTTCGTGTATGTCTGCTCTAGACTGTGAGCTCTTCAAGGGCAAGGCCTGCGTTTTATTCATCTTTATAGCTACTTCAGGCTGAGCACAGATTTGGGGCTCAGTGTATGTGAAATGAATTGGATTTTAACAAGTTTGATTTATTTTAGGGAAGTAGCTAATTTCGAATGGAATTTTTTTTTCAAGTTTTAATTAGTCTTTCCCTCCTACCTCCTTCACCAGCTTTGCCTTCTCTCCCATCTCCCTCATTTCCTAACATTTGTTCAGGGTCCCAAGGCAGGAGCCCAGAGCCCCGCCACGCTAGAAGCTACTCTCTGCCCCCTCTGCTTGGAAGCCCCTCCCGATGACTTGTTTCTGAGGTCTGGGACTAGGCCGCCCTGCAGTGTTTGTTTCTGTACCAAGCCCAAGCAGAGCAGCCTTTGTGGTACCTCGTAGACGGCTTCCTAAGCCAACAAAGAAGGCACTCTTGCAGCTTTGCAAGGCCTCTTCTTCCTCCCTAGGCCTTCCTAGCAAGGGGCGGTATTCCAGTTAGAAGAGAAAGTGGCAGCAGAGCAATCCCAGACCTGCCGGACCAGGGCTGGACCTCCAAAAGGACACCCCCCGGACCATGGCCTGTGTCCACATAGGCCTGACCCAAAGCATGTGCCGAGAAAGACATGTGAAGTAAATGAATCGTTTCTCACAAACAGGGCACATCCCTTCCACTCACTGGTTCTGAAAATCCACAGGAACCTCAGTACCATGGTCAGCTTCCCTTTCTCCCTTGGGAGGAGCATCTGTACCAAACGCAGACCCGGTGCCCATTCTGAAGAGTGGATCTGGCCTGAAGTGCCACATCAGCCTACATAGCCCTTCATACAATCTGAGTCTTCATTACCACACATAGATCCTGGGGGCCCGAGGCAGGAACTATTTTGGGAATTCTTCCGACACTGGCGGTTGGGCCCCCACCATCCCCAGCAACCACTATGACTGACCGGCTTCCTGTTTCCTGCCGTTGCAGGTGTATGTGCTGAAGCGGCCACATGTGGACGAGTTCCTCCAGAGGATGGGGCAGCTCTTCGAGTGTGTGCTCTTCACTGCCAGCTTAGCCAAGGTGAGTCCTGCTCCCAGCCCTGAGCTCTCAGCCCCAAACAGCCTCTCCGCCCCTACCCCCTGTCTGTCAAACAGCCCTTTGTTAAGGTGGAGGAAGCTGTTTCTATGGTGACACATTCCCACTCCAGATGGGATGGATGCAGGCCATGTGCACAGCGCCAGCCTGAAAGGCTTCTGGGTTACCATGGTGACAGGGAGCGCTTGGAACAGATGCTCCATGAAGTTGAAGTTGCTTCATGCAGCCACCTGAAGCTGGTTGTATCCACGGAGCAAGAAATCAGAAATGTGCTCAGCATAACCGAGAAAGGCATCTCATCTATTCACTGGCAACCAAATATTAGAAGCTCAGGCCTCTGTGCCCTGGGTTAGCTTGCACGGGTTCGGGGGAGAGATAAGTGTCAGAGATTCACACGTGCCTGGGCCGAATGAGAGTTCTCACTGCCCTAATGAGCCCTGTGATCTCAGGCAAGTTACTTTTTATCTCTGACCTCAATTTCTTCTCTAAATTGGGGATAAATTCATTTACCTTGTGGGCCTTACTCTTGCATACTAAAAAGGAGAATAATGTGGAAGTCTTTCAGATGAATGGTACCAAGACTAATCGTATCGTAGTGTCGATGGCTCTTCTGACAGTGCTCTGGGGTGCTGAGGAGCCTGAAGTGATAACCAAAGAAATAATGAACAGGAAGATTGTGCTGGTGTCGGTGGATTGAAAGTTGTTTTTTCTTTGGCGAAATTGAAAACACTCTTCCTTGGCGTAGTCCCCAGCCCTGGCTTAAACATCCTTGTTTGGTCTCTTAGCCGGGATTGCTCCCACCTGCCCCTCCATCTGTCTCTCCAGCTTTTCTCCACTGCTCCTCCAGCCTGGCTCAGCCAGACCAGCTCCCCAGTGCAGCCTTCCAGCCTCTTTTCTTCCCCGATGCACAGGTTCTGCTGACAGGTGGACACTCCCCAGGTCTTGGCTCAGCTCCCATTGGTGCAATGGACCTCCTGGCCAACCACACAGGGGCCCACAGGAGCTCTTAAGCTGACCGTCAGACCCCTTCAATATCTGCATCCTCATCTTAGTTTCCTTCATTCACTCATTCACCCGACAGGCATTTGCTTAGTACCTACTGTGTATCAAGCACTGTACTAGGCACTGGAGATATATACAGCAGAGAACAAAAGAGACAGAGTCCCTGCCCTCGTGAAGCTTACGTTCCCCACATTCATCTCTGAGGCCTGGAGCCCCTAGACTTAGGCACTCCCTGGAAAGATGTATGCCACCACCAGTGTTAATGATTATGAGGAATTAATCATCTTTCCATCTAGAACCAGCCCCCCTATAACCCACACACGTGGTGCTTGGCTGTCCTCACCAGCAGGAAACTGCAGTGCCCTGAGTTCTCACCCTACTTGGTCAACAGGAAATACAGCCTGCTCCTGGACTCTGCCTCGCTCAGGATGTCTCTGGAGAGAGGAAGACGGCCATGGCCTCAGAGCTGCAACTTATAGCACTGTAGCCCTGCCGGCATTTCCTCTGCACTCAGGGGTTGCTGTGAAGTCCTCTCCTGGGATTCCCAACACCACCAGCCTCGGTTGCTTCCTGCCCCCCAGGCAGAGTTGCTGGGTCCCTGGTGACACCTGGCTGTGCCCCTCACTGTTGTCTTGGTGCTGAGGCCTTACCTCACATCGGGATTAGAACTGCTCCTCGTTTGCCTCCCGCTCCAGCCACTCAGTCCGACCCCTTGATCTCTATCCAGTTCAGCCTGCTTTGGAGAAAACTCCCCAGGCCATGAGAGAAGGATGAACCCCAACTGTAAGCTGGGCTCAGACTCCTTCCCATAAACTCCTGAGCTCCAAGTAAATGCAAGTGGGTTCTGGGCCCCATCCTGAGACAGTCAGGGGCTGGTCTGGCCCTGTTGCTCAGAGCACCTCTAGGGGGCAGTGTGGCCATATGCCACACAAGCCAGATTCCAAGTCAATGCATTCATTCACTGTTGAAACTAGTATTTCCTGAGCCCTACCATGAGGTAGGCACTCTGCAAGGTGCTAGGGATGTCATGGTGAACACGATAGGCAAGGCTTGGGCCTGAACAAGTGCAGAGAAAATAAAGTACTCCCATGTGGTGATAAGCTCTGTGAAGGAAATTACTATGAGGTCATAGAGTAGTATCCAGAAAGGAAGAGGTAGGAGGTCTCTAGATGGGTGGTAGGGGAAGCCAAGACCTGAAACGAGGAGACAGGAAAGGTTCATGCAGAGAGCAGGCGAGAGAGACTATTCCATGTAGAGGGAACACTAATGCAGAGGTTCTAACCAAGTTCAACACCAGCGTGGCTCAAGCCACACTGAGATGATTTGAGATGGAGGTGAGAGGTCAAGAAATTTTTCAGCTGCAGCCATGCAGGATACGGCTGCAAAGAGTATGGGCCTTATTCCAGGTAAACGGACTGGAAAGAAGGCCCAAGGGGAAGAGAAGACTCTAGAGGCTCAGGCAGCCACCCCAGCCCAGAGATTACAGAGACCTGGATTAGGGCGGTGACTAGTATAGAGAGATGCAGGTGAATTCAAGATATTTTGGGAGATGGAACTGACAAGAATTTTTGATGGCTTGGATATGAGAAGTGAGAGAAATGAAAGAATCCGGGGTGTCTTGCACACATAGAGAGGAAAATAACCAGGATCCTAAAACATCCGATGATTTAAATCCCTTTTTAGAAAAGTAAGCTACATCTTGCCACAGTAGATCAGGGTTTCCAGGCTCTTTCAGGCACCCAGCCTTCATTGCGACACCTGCTTTCCAGTACGCAGACCCTGTGGCTGACCTGCTGGACCGCTGGGGCGTGTTCCGAGCCCGGCTCTTCAGAGAATCGTGTGTTTTCCACCGTGGGAACTATGTGAAAGACCTGAGTCGCCTTGGACGGGAGCTGAGCAAAGTGATCATCGTCGACAATTCTCCTGCCTCGTACATCTTCCACCCTGAGAATGCAGTAAGTAACTCCCTTCCCCGCCAAAAAAAGAATGTGGGGCTCCACCTGAGCTCTGTCTTGCTGGGCAGCCACCACATTGGTACCTTCATGCCCCCTTGCAAAGTTTCCTGGCCTTGTCCTCGTGATATCCCAACTCTGCCACTTAGCAGCTGCATGACCTTAACCAAGTTCTTTCACCTCTCTGAGCCTCAGTTGCCTCATCTGTCAAGTGGGGATCGTAGGACTGCTGATCTCATAGGATTATCGGAGTCACTGTGGCAGAACGTGAAAAGCGCTTGGAACAGTGCTTGCACTGGGCAAGTGCCCAACCAGCCTGTATCTTCTCCTTAACATTTTTAATGTTATTACTGAGAAGGGTTCTGTCTGTCGTTAACTGCCTGGAGCTGGCTGCTGCCCTGGACTTTGGGACCCCTAAAGACTCAGAAGGACTGGGCGACCTCTTCAACAGAAGTATTCCTGAAACAGAAATGAACAAAACACTTCTGTAAGGTCTTTAGATAAGGCTGGCAGGCTTTACGCCCCCTTGTGATATTTTAAAAGTATGCAATGGGAACATTTCCTACTTAAAACTCCCCAGAGCATGGCGGCCTTTCGTGTCTACTCACTGGGTGCAGTATGACTCTCAGAGCAAGGCAGAGATGACCTCCCACCTCCCACCCTACGTCTGCAGGGGAAGAGAGATCAGTCAGGCCCACTGGTGACTGCTGACCCCTCAGCAGTGGCCACCACACCAGGCCCTAAGCCCAGGCAGCTTTCCCTGGAGAGGAGGCTTCTTCCTAAACAAGGTCTTTCCCTTGAGTCCAGAACTGGATTGCTCCACTTAAAGTAGAAATTAATTCAAACTAGATTCAGTGAGTTAGTGATTGGTCATTATTTTAATAAACTTTCAAAATTTATTATATTTAAATATGTTCACTTTACTGAGTTAAATTCAACATAATGCATTTTATAATGTGGCTCTAACAGATAAGAATTGCTTTATAATACAATCACAATTTCATTATCACATCTGACAAAACTAACAGTTTCTTACTATTATCTAATATCCAGACTGTATTCATATTTTCCCTGTTACCTCAAAATGTTATCTTATGTTTGGATTGATTGCATCAGAATCCAAACAAGGTCCATGCATTGCTTTGGTTAATATGTCTCTTAATTTTTTTAATGACCTTAACACTTCTTCCTCTCTCCCTTTTTTCTTCCATGCCTTTTGTTTGTTGAAGAAATTCTTGTTATTTGTCTAATAGAAATTTCCTACATTCTGAATTTGCTTAGTTGCAGCCTCATGATGGCATTTAATATGTTTTTCTAGCCAATATATTTTCTTTAAACAAGTAGTTAGATTGCTTATCCCTGAGAAGATTCAGGTTCAATTTTTTTTTTTTTTAAGAATACATTATAGGTGGTATCGTATACCTTCGTGGTATCACATCAGGAGACACATAATGTCAGTTGACCCACTCGTAAAGATTTTAAATTGATCTTTGGATTCAGGTGGCATTCACCTGATTCTTCCATTTTAAAATTCCCCATCACTCTTTCATCTAAAAATTTTGGCAGTCATTGATCATTGCCTACATCCACTATTTCACTAGAAATTGCAAAATTGGTGATTGCTAAATTCTCTCATTCTTTCTGCATTTATTGGCTGGAATTCTATTTTTTTTTATCAAACTTTCCTTCATTGAGTGCTCAATTACCCTAATATTCAGTTTGAATGTTTGAATGGGGAAGTCAGAGTATAGTCTTGGTTCTTTTTCTTTAATTCTGCAATTTCAGAGTAATAAGTTAATTAGTGTTCTAGCAACCTCCGAAAGTAACCAACAATTTTTTTTTTTAGTATCATCATGTACTCATGGATTTTTTTTTTTTTTTAATCGTTACAGTTTACTCCATTTATTATTATTTTGTGCGCTCAAATCTTCACCTTTGGCCAGTGGACACCCGTTCAAATAACAGTAGTGTTTAATAGCTTCCTGCTTTCTGGTACAACAAGATGTTCTAGGCTTATCTTGTCCATTTCCTGCTTTAGCCCTGGAATCAGCCATTTTTCTATGGAGCTTGGTTCCTATTAGTGGAAATGGTATTTAGAGATTACAGTTTGGGTGGGTTCTTATTGTTACTGGGATGTCCTTTGCTTCTAGCCCTTTCTATGGGACAGAGCTAAAATATGCATATTTTTAGAATGAAAACTAAATCATTAATTCGTTTGTTTTTCCAATTCAATGTAATAACAGGATAGGATTTTTATTTCTTTGTTTTTGTATCTTCTATTATGCTGAAACTCTTAATTCTAAAAATACATATATCATTATACATTTGATTTATTCTATAGTATGTATAATAACTTCAAAATAGCAGTACTAATATTATTACTAATAAGACAATTGAATGCATTTAGGGTTGGGGGGGAAACGTATAGACAGAACACTGTCTTTTAAAATTACTTGAAATAATTCTGTGTGGTTATATCACCAATTTTATATACACTTAGGTTCATGTTTTATTGCTTTCTTTATTAATGGTTTAATTTTATTTCAATCATGCGATGATACATTTACATGGTACCAACATCAAAACTATGGACAAAGATGAATTTAGAGAAGTCTTGTGTCCATTTCTGCCCTCTCCCCCATTTCTGCTTCTTCCCCTAGGAGAAGTTAATTTTTGGTAATCCTTACCTTGTTTATTTTTTTAATTACCTAATGAATTGTTATGTTTATAAGTGGTCTTTAGATTTGTAAAAGAGTCAAAATATTACTTTTAAACTTTTTTGGTTTCCCCTTAATCTCTTCTCCCTGGATAATACCTACTACCACCTCTCTGTCTAAAACTAAGGAAAAATCCTGTCTTGGCCCATGGCTTTAGATTGTCCTGAAATGTTATACTTCTCCTTTTAACTGGTCACTGCCGAGTGTGGGAGGAAGTTCTTCACTTCTCTTTGCCATACAACATGCCACAGTGACCTCCTGTGCCTTATATATAGGCTCCCTGGTGTCGGTAGTTGGCAGGCAGGTAACCTCTGCCTCCAGGTGCTCTGAGGTGTGAGGCGCTGGTTTGAGGAACTTGGCAAGCAGCAAGGCTAGTTCTCACATATTCTACGCTCCAGCTGCCTTTTCTGAGGCAGGAAAACAAAACATGCAAAATGCACACAAACTGGGCACGCGTAACCTTGCCTTCCTGGGCCATCTCCCGAACCAGGTCACTGTGGATTGATCTTAGTTGGGAGAAAAGAACAAACAAAATGATGATGGTGGTGATTTGCTAGATAACTGTCCTCCTGACCCAGTCAGGCTCGGAGCAGCCTGCAGCCCTACATACAGTTCAGCTGTCCCCTCCGTGCACTGTCTTCCAGGTGCCTGTGCAGTCCTGGTTCGATGACATGACAGACACGGAGCTACTGGACCTCATCCCCTTCTTTGAGGGCCTGAGCCGGGAAGACGACGTGTACAGCATGCTGCACAGACTCTGCAATAGGTAGCCCCGGCCTCTGCCCGCCTCCTGCCTGTGCACTCTGGAACCCCCAGCCTTGGGGACCTGCCTGGCCTCGGCTCCCTGTGAGCTGAAAGTGAGGACACTCCGTGTTCCAGGCTGTGGGGTGAATGTGGCCATACCTACCTGTTTTATTTTTTTAAGAACAGAAACAACTATTTTAAAACGAACTCTTTTAATGAATTTCATAAAGGGACATGCATTTTACTGGATTTGCTTTTCTTAAAACATACCAAAAAGAAAAAAATGAAAAAAAAAAAAAAGCTTGATATCTATCGGACTTCCTTTCAACTGTCCTCCCTTCCAAGCGGACAACCTGTCCCCTCTAGCCCAGCTCAGAGCAGCTGACCCAACTCAGAATCTCTTTCCTACAGGATGAAGTGCCTTTTTGAATGTTATTTTAAGCTGAGAGTTAATTTTTCTACACAACATATTTCCAGTCTTTTATTGTCTTAGATTCTCTAAGAAGATAAATATTACGATTTTCTAGAACTTGGGGGGGTGGGGTGAGGGATGAGGGTAAGTCATAGGAGCCTGTTTCCCAACAGGTGTGACTGTGCTGACAACCGGTGGCATGCTGCAGGCTCAGACTCCTGGTAGGAGGGTTTGTGACTGTGACTGTGACTGTGTCTGTCTCCATTCATTTCGGACCCAGTTTGGGATATATTTGCAATTGTGTGGCTCAACACTTTATGAAACAATCAATTGTTTTATATTATTATGATTTCTGAGGGTGACAAATTGGTCCTGAGGTCACATTTTTCCTTCGAAAAGTGTCATCATGTCACTTCTGCTTTCACACAACTGCCATACTTCCGTACGTGTTTTGTTTTGTTGTTGGTTAGGTAGAGCAGTTACAAGAAACTCAAACCCTTAGACTTTTTTTTTTTTTATTCTGTTTATTGATTTTTAAATCTTTCCTTTCCGAAAGCTGGATATATAATGGAGCTGTTTGGGAATTTTCTTTGCTGCTACCGTGCTGCCACCAAATGGAATTGACCAGCGGCTGTTACACTGTTCTTTGCCACTGTGCCTAATGCTCAGAATCTGCTCACTGCTAAGCTGCACACTCAGACAGGGTTAGAAATGTAGGTGTCCCACCCTATCGCAGACTGCACCACCTGTACCCCTGCCCTGGCCCTGGCCATGGGAGTTCATAAGGGTACGAAGCCAAAAGGGCCGACACACCACACAAGTGGTGCCATTTTCAACCGCAGTCAACATCAGATCCTGTGAGAAGCTGACTGTTCTCTCCTGAGAACCTGCGGCCTCAACCAACCACCACGCTGATATGGCCCCAAGTCCATCTCTGGGTCTTCTCTTTTGAAGCATAGCCTACTTCTGAGCCGAGGGTTGGGGAAGCCTGTCTAGACGTGGGACTCACTGTCCCCAACCAGAGAGGAAGGACTCTCTCCCGGAGCCAGAGCTCCCTTTGCAGCCTTTCCCAGTGAGATGTTCTTAAGCAGTGCCATGTTCCTTGTTTGACAACAAGATAGTCTTTAAAGTGTTACTCTTAAAAATAATTAAAAAGAACCCTTTTGTGTTGGCACCGTTGCCTTAGTCCTCTGCAGGTTGGGCCTCTGCCAGAGTTCTGGTGGGAGCAACTGGCACTAAGAAAACTGGAAATTGGGGGTCAAAGTAAAATTTCTTTTTTGCTATTATTCACAAAATAATGAAGCCAGCTGCCAATTATGTCCTCCCAACAGCGCTTTGGTCTGTGGACTGCCCGGCGTTCAGAAGAGAAGTGAGTATTCAGGGGTAACCAGGTCTCCCAACATTCTGAGTGCTCCAAACCCAGTAATCCACATGCCAATTAAAATAGAAACAGCCCCTTGCCAGGCATTACCATAGATAAAAACAGTTACATGGCAGATCTGCACATGCCATAAACTCTGATTTGGAAAACTAGTCATTAAATGAACCCGCTGCCTTAAATGTCTTGATTATTGCAGTCAAGTGTCTGTCATATCGAAATCCACATAGAACTCAGTCCTGATGAGAGCCTTAGAGCCTCACCCGTGCTCCCCTTTTGTTGGCATCACAAGGTCCAGTTTGGAACAGGGGGTGGCGGGGGGCAGAGAGGGCTGAAAATCTAGAAGATTTCAGGGAAATCGAACCTAGGAATAGTGACCGATGGAGTGAAGACACTTGGCAGGCTTGAGCCAGACACTTCACCTAGTAGTTCCTGAAACCGTGCACGCCATGCACAAGTCCCGTGGAGAGCCGTTGAGGTCGGGGCCCGGTTTCTGTCGCCACAGACACAGAACGTCTCGGGAGGGCCAGTAAACCCTCTGGGGTTCTGGATTCTGTGCACCTTATTTGACCATACTCCAAAATTCCATTTTTATTTTAACCCTTGATTCTGCTTTATGTACATAATCAAAGTATATCTATCTATATATATATATATATTTTTAATCATCTACATGTAAATGAAGCAATAGAATTCTAACATGAGGCCCAGAAATGAGATGAATGTTTGGGGTTTATGTTTTTAAGGTAAATATACGGGTATTGTTTTTTTAATTACCTTTATTAAATGGTGGGCTTTAAAACCTAATTGAAACCTATTAGCTATTTCTCTGTGCCATATACTTCCAATGTTACCAAAACATCCCTAACTCTTCAGCCAAAAGAGAAATCTGATGTCCTGAGTTTCCATGGTCCTCTCTGTACCAGGTTAAAACACAGTCTTCTGAACAAGTATTTTTTTACATTAAGATCTGGGACAGGATACCTTGCATCATGGACTCTGGCCACTATGATGCTATGACATCTCTGGCCGGACCTCGAGTGGAGGTGCCCAGGCACATCTGAGCTTGTTACTGCTCTGTCTTCCATTGCTCTGGAATACTACATGTGGATCTGTGGTTTCACCCATTAGCTATTTGTAAACAATGCATTTGTATACTAAAAAGGAATACCACCTGTCATGGCCGATGGTTGGTGGGGAAGCTCCTTTGACATGGTGCAATTTTGATGAGATGACTCTGGAGACATGAGAATGCCCTAAAGACTTGTCATGGTTGCAGCATTTGAACTTTTGGTATAAAAAAGAAATCTGTAAGTCTATAACCTGGCAACATTTTACAACCCTGTATTTTAAAGATGGCTTTCTAATAAAATCCAGAACCACACAGCCCTATGGTCAAACACTCGTGACGTTTGTGCCTCTGCTTTTAAAGGTGCTGTGATGGACAGTTGGCATGCCAGGATTAGAGAAGAGGGGATGGCTTGAAGTGCTTGCAGTTACCTGTGCAAAACTGACTGGCTGCCTCTGTTCCCATTTTACTGTAATTTGATGGTGTCTGTTCCTGTTCCATTCTCCAGGGAGCTTCTCTGCAGACTAACACCCCTCACTTCCCACCCCGCAAGTAGTAGAGATGCTGGTGTCTAGGTAGTCATGGCTTTCTGTTGGACATTTGAATGTGATAAACAATCCAGCATTACGTGGAAATGCTACATGTGGAATGTGCACGTTTGCAGGGGCGAGCATTGTTTGTCAAGAGGCTTGCAATGATTTCCTTCCTGCCAAAAATAAACACGTGAAACTGCGCTCTCTTGTGGATGGACTGCTTCTCTACCGGCAGTGCTTCTCCTCACTCTGTTCTCTGCCCCTGCACAGCAGGGATGGATGGGAGAGCAGGGCCTCAGGATCCCAGGAGCCACCAACCTTGACTCCAGGGGGAGCTAGACACCCATTCTGTCCCACTGGCTTGTCAGAAGCCGTCTGGTTCACCATCCTCCCACAAGGCTTCCAGCCCTTTCCAAATGCAGCCTAAGCGAACTGTATCCCCCACCCCATAAGAGCCACAGGCATGGTGTATGCTGTTTTGGGTGCCTAAACTCACAGCCCAGGGTACACTGACTGGGATGCTGTGATTACCAGATGAAGCATGGCAAGAGACTAGAAGGACTAAGGACCTTCAAGAGACTTTTCTCACAGTGGGGCATCCTGCAGACATTGCCCTCAGCCCAGCCCCTCCACACATGAAGGTGAGAGGGCAGCGAGTACCCCCTCTGCTAGGAACTCCTGGCAGAGCCTTCAGAATGGCCTCACCATTCTTAGAACACTTCATAATGACACCTAATTCAGATAACACCAGTGTCAGAAAACTAAGCAGTTTGGTCATCCCGTTTTGTGGATGAGAAAACAAGCCAGTGACACAATGTTCTGCAGTCCGTTCTGTCTGCCACAAGGATACAGGATCCTACCAGGCATGTACATTCAGCCCAAACAATACAGACAGTGTATGTGTCAGCCCAGGAAGCCTAATATTTACCCAGAAATAAAACTCAAGTCCCCCACAGTTTGTGCTCTGCCCCTAGGTGCCCTAGCCACCATGGAGTAGCTAGCCAGCCAGAAAGGTCACCCCAGTTTCTTCCCCTGGTTCTGGACTCCTCAGCTGTGTCCCTCTCTATCCCTCTGTCTCTCGCTCTGCCGCCTGGCCCTCTCTGCCTACTTTTGCCTCCTCTGGCATTGTCCACCCACCCCTGACTGCTTCATACCTTTGCATAAAGTGGAAAGACAAATGGTCATTAAGAGGCCACTTATTTGGGATTTGAACATACTGTGATTTCATCTCCTGATTTTTTTTGTTTGAGCACACAACATCTGTATTCTAGGACCAAGAAAGAAGCCAGGGAGGAGTGGCTGGGAAAAGCCAGCCAGGGAAGACAAAGGGGGTCTGTTGAGCTTATGGATGAGGGGTGCAGTAGGGGCTGTGGCAGAGTCCTGGAAGGATTCCATGGCAGAACCTATGCCAGGGCTGCCTGTGGATCAACAGGCTGCTCTAGGCTCAGAGCTACCAGCTAGCCTGGCCACAAAGCTTGAACTCCGAGGAGAATTCACTGGACCCTCCGGCCCATGGGAGGAAGACGTGTGGGCTCCAGAGTTTTCCACCCCAACCTCCATTACAGCTGCACCTAATAGCTCAATGATTCTCAGCTCTGGCTTTGCTGCCCCGTAGAATCACCTGAGGACTCTTAGAAATCAGATCCCCCCAAGTATCCCAGACCATTTAAAGGCAAATCTCTGAGCATAGGCCTCACAGGTGCAGCCAGGGCCGAGGACCCCTGCCCTGACCAGCTATGGAGGAAAAGAAAGTCCCCCAAACTGTTCCAGGCCTGACACCAGGTATGTCGAAAGAGCTATGGCAGGGCTCAGGGGAGGTGACATGTATGGTTTTATCTGAACTATCAGTCATACATGTTCATCACCAGAATTTAAGGAAACCCAGAAAAGTACAGAGAAAACCTCACATGGGCACTGGGAGACTTTCCCAAGGCGGAAGTGAGGATGGGTTGTGAAAAGCGCCCCACGTGGTTAACAGCGCCCTGACTTTACACTGCGGTGGGGAGCAGAGTGGATACCCCCACTTCTCGTTAGAGCTCTGGGTCACCGGAACTGAGCCTTGCCATTCCCCTTTCCCAAGTCAGTAACAGCTGACTGGCCCTGAGGAGGTGCTGAGCTGATCTCACCCAAGCAGTCTGGGTGCGCGGCTGGGCAGGGACACACGGGTCTGCTAGGAAGTGACACCTACTCGTTTGCAGACACCTAGGGCTCTTCTTGGGGCCTATCGGTGTGGTGGCCCCTCGGACACAGGGACTTGGCCCGCCTCCTCGGGCCCTGGAAATTCCCACGGCATCCTCAGGGTAGTCGCTCTCGGGCCGTGCGCGCCCCGGTGCCTATGTCACTGCCCCTCTGAGACCTGCAGCCAGCTGTGGGAGGCCCACGCGAGCCCAAGTTTGCTCTCTTCAAGGGCCTTTTTTCCAGGCAGCGGGATTCAGGACGCGAGTCAGGCAGTCGCACGCCCAGCCCCCACGCTCTGTCCGCGCTCCGGCGGGGCGCACCCGGCCGCAGGACCTGGTCTCCGCGAGGAGCGCCGTTGTGCACCTGCCTGGACGGGACTCGAGTGTGACCTGGGAAACCGAGCTAAGGAAATCTGAAAGCGGGGCCTAAAGGGGCGGGGGCTATTGGGCGGTGCTAAAGGGGCGGGGCCTGGGGCGGGTCTGGCTTCCAGCGCCTGCCCCGCCCACCCCAGGCCACACCTCTGCCTTTGTTAATAAGGACTGTTGCAGGCTGGGCCTTGGAAGATCCTGGAAGGAACAAAGTTAACAGTCAGGAGCCCTGGAACCTGCCTGGAGGGAGTGTGGGGAGGGATGTGGAGCGGAAAGAGGCGAGGGGGAAGAGGGAGTCATGGCCAGGGCGGTGCTGACCGAGGCGAGCCAGGTTCAGTGCCCTTCCGACGCCAGGCCCTGATCCATGGGAGGGCGGCCAAACAGGAAGAAGTGGTGGCGGAGCTCCCTTCCTGCTCTTGGAGGGAATGGGGGGAGAGGCTGGGCACCTCCTTGTCCTCCTAGCACCCTGCCCGTGAGCACTACCATGGGCCTCAGTTTCCTCTCTGTGCCGTGGGCGTGATCCCATGAACTGGAGACAAATCAGTGTTGCTTATCTTGGCCCCAGGCCAGGCCCTAGGGCCCACTGTCTGTCTCTCCAGCGCCTGAGATCACAGGTTACAGGATGGGGCTGTTCTGGACTAGGGCAGTTTTGCCTACCCAAGGTCTTCAGAATCCGAGACTTGGAGAATTCTGACAGAAGGGGCCTTGGAGAGGCCTTTGTGCCCCTCACTAAGCCACTAAGGCTGGATTGTGCCAGACACGGTGTCCTGCCCCAAAGAGTGGTGGGCAGATGTGACCTCCCCTGCCTTCTCAGGGGAGAGAATGTCAGCTCAGAGAAATAACCAAGAAATGTCTCCAAAGTCACTCAGCCAGTAGGCGCTTCCGCTGGGGTTGGAACCTGGCTCTGGTGAGCAGTCAACTCTGAGGCCGGGCTTCAGGACAGAGCCTGGCAAAGAGTCCAAACACACCCCCACCAGATCAGGCACAGGCCACAGGAGCATGTCAACAAATATTTATTAAACAATTACTGTGTACCGGGCACCATTCTAGACATGGAGATACAGCAGTGAGCAAGGCCCTGCCCACAAGGGGCTCACATTGCAGCTGGGGACACAGACACTAAACAAGGATCGTTATCAGTAAGGTTGTCAGCTTTTAAAATTGCTAAGAAGGTGAGGCAAGCGGAGAATGGGACGAGGACTACGGTGGTCAGGGAAGGCCCTCCGAGGAGATGCCATTATGGCTGAGGCCAGAATGTGGAAAGGGTGTACCGTGCAGAGATCTAGGGGAGAGGTTTCCAGGCAGAGGAGACAGCAGTGCCAAGGTCCAGAGAGCAGATGAGGTTGCCGTCTTAAGGAACAAAAAGAATCTTGTAGCTAGAACACAGCAATGCAGTGAGTGGTAGGAGATGCGGCCAGGGGAACAGGCGATTTGGGGGTTTTATTTTCAGGAAGCTACTGAAAGGTAAGTGATGTGATCTGATTTATGGTTAAAAAAAATCCCTCTGGCTATATGGGAGGATGGACATAGGGGCCAGAGAGACCGAGAGAGACAGAGGGAGGCTCGGGCTGCCAGGTGGTGAGAGAGGCTGGCTCCTAGAGCAGGGCAGTTGTGAGAGAGCTGGCCAGACTTGGAGTCCAGGATGAACCAGACTGGCCAGTGGCTGCCCTGAGGATGGAAGGGAAGGAGAGGGACCCCAGATGGCTCCCAGGTTTGGGGGCCTGAACAACCAGCTGGATGTTTATGCCATTTCCTGAGACCGGGAGGAGGTGGATCTGAGTGATCTGAGGTGGATGTCAAGTGCAAGGTCAGCCGGGCCAGGAGGATGTGACCAGCTAGATGGGGTTCGGGAGGAGTGGGGGTTGAGATCCGAAGAGACACTAGCATTCCCCGTGGTATTTACAGCCTGGGAGCTGGAAGTAGGAAAGAAAATGGAAAAGAGACAGGCACTAAGGCCTGAGCTCTGCGTCCTCTGGCATTTAAAGGCCCAAAAAGTGACAATGTAGCAGCTGTGGAAGAAACGTGGGCCATGAGCTGTTTCAAGAGGAAGGAGTGGGCGGCGGGTCCCCTGGTGGGTGACTGGGAGGGTAAGATAAAGACAGAACCAATGGCCAGCTTTGACGAGAGGGGGCATTGATGACAAGGAAAGAGCCATTTCTAGGGGCTGTGGGAATAAAGACCAGCCAGAGTGGACAGAGGAGAGACTCTGAGATGAGGCAGTGGGAAGAAGTGAGTCCATGGAATTTTGCTGGGCGCAGGGACAAAGGGAGACAGGGAAACAGGTATGCACAGGCAGAGCCAAACACGCCGTCACTTACTGGAAACAGGATTAAACAGGCATTCTCTCACACACGACGTCAGACGTGCACAGGGCCTGACCAAGTGCCTTTCACGTACTGACTCCATCTGTCAAACACAGTTGTACGTGGCAGTAGGTCCTACCAGGCTCAGTTGAACCCAGATTTCTTAGAGCCCCCCCTACCCTGCAACAGGGAGCTGTGGGGGTAAGGACTGGACATGGGGCAGGGTTTTGAGGCCAATGGGCAGGTTTTAGCAGTGTATCCTGAAGGCGCATCCACACTGGTTGGGCTGTGGCTGGGACTGTGGCCATTGGCCTAAGGTAAGGAGTGGAAGTGTCTCTGGAGGCTCTGTTTCCAGCACCTCCACAGCCCCCAATCAGAAAGGAAAGGAAGAGGCAGCCCAGGGTGTGGGAGAGGTGTTTTCTCTGTAAGCATGGACTGGCCTCTCCCACGATGGGTATCAGGGCTCCCTGTGGAGGGCTGTGCTGGACATTAAGCCCAAACTGGGAGTGGAGAGGACAGCAGAGAGGCTAGAGAGCCCTGGGCACCTTCCCTCACCTCCTGAAGTGACCTGGGTCTCACAGAGCCAGACAGCCTCTGCGATACTCCCACCAACCTGATCCTGCTTCCTCCTAAAATTTGCTGGGGTGTCTGGCCTGGGGATCAGGAATCAGGAGCCCAACTGGGCTTTCAGAAAAGGGGAGTCATAGTATATTCCACACCCACATCTTGGCCCAGCCCAGGCCTCCATCTCCGGCTCTCTGTAGGCACCATTACCCAGGAGGTGAGGCCTGGCTGACCAGCCATGACCCTGAGGAGGGGTTTGGCTCTCAAAGAGCTGAGCCATTGTTTGTTGACTGACTAACTGATTGACTGTTTGAATGCCCAGCCCACCCTGCAGTGGGGTGTGTCCTACAGGGCAGGGAGCAGGGATTGAGTTACAGCGGAGGGAGGGCAGTTGGCAGAGCCCGGCCCCATGCCAGGCCCAGCACTGCCCACAGGCAGGGTGAAGGCACCAGCAGTTTCCAGCAGGTACGCCTGGCAGGGAAGGGGCATGGGGCACAGCTGGGCAAGGGGCTCTGGAGAACCCGGGGCGGGGGTGGGGGCGAGGACCTTTCAGATTCAGGGGTGTACGGTGTGGGGGCACAGGGCTCAGGGTTGCCGAGGGGCTGGCAGAACTGGGGAAGCAGCGAGCAGCCCAACCAGTGAGAACACTCATGGGGACAAGGGAGGCTGTGGCTGGAGTGGCCTGCGGGAAAGAGAGAGGCAGAGATTATATTGGGCGGGGGTCTCCAGGCTCTCCTTTCCTCCTCTGGAGCAGGCAGCGCCCCTTCCCCTTCCCAAAAGTCATGCAAAGTAACCTCAGGGCCCGCCCCCTCACAGGTATTTCAGGAGGAGGAAGTTGAGCCCCTGGGGGAGACAGAGGGGTACCAGAGGAGTGAGGGGGCACCTAGGTAGAAAGAGGGGACACCAGGGAAAGGACGGGGTGGTGGGGTAAAGAAGGGAGTGTCTGGGCCGAGAATCTGGGAGAGAGACACGGAGGCCAGGGAAGGGAGGGCGCACCTGGGGGAAGGAGGGGCTACTCGGGGAGAGAAGGGGACATCTGGAGGAGGAAAGTGGGAAGGGAAAGTCAAGAGAGAAGGGGGCTCTGGGGAGGGAGGGTGCATGGAGGGAAGGAAGGAGGGCCCAGTGGGTACAGAGGGGCACCCAGGAAAGGAGGGGCATAGCGGGGGTGGGGAGATAAGAGTTTGTCAGAGGAGGGCCTCTGCCAAAGAAAAGGGGCCCCGAGTGGAGGGAGCCAGCCCTCAAGGAAAAGAAGGGTCTTCCAGGAGGAGGGAGAGGGCACTGCGGGGGCAGTGGTCCCCATTTAGGGTAGGTGATGGAAGAGTTCTCCAGGGGAAAAGGGACATCTGCAGGTGGGTGGGGGGATGGGGCTTGGTGAGTTAGATGGACTCTCTGTGGGGAGGGGGAAGGGATCCCCCTGAGAGAGAAAAGGACCTCCTGGGGGAAAGGGAGGTTGCTGGGGGGAAAGAAAAGACCCCCTACCCGTTGAGCAATTCTTCCCCCATCCCCGCCCCCTGCAGAGCCCAGTCGGAAGACAGGGAACACAGGTTACATGGGGATGAGGGCCTCAGGCCCTAGGAGCCTGAGAGTTTGGCCCCCCAGTTTAGACCTGAATATTGGGGCACCTTCCCAGCCCCTTGGGTGCGGTGCTGTCCCCACCCAGCGAAATCAGCCCAGTTGCAATATTCTGGCCACCAGGTTGACTTTCCTGTCCCACCTGTCGACCACGGTGCTGAGGCCAGCCAGTCTCCCTGTCACTCACTCTGTTGCCATTTCACACTGTCGCACGACCTACAGCTCAGAGTTGTAGCTCTGCTCACTGCTTGTGCCCTGGTCGCTGTCACTGGTCACCGCTATTACCCGTCACCAACAAATGTCACTATGCCTGTCACCTGGCGTCATCCCATGTTTTCTATTGCTTGAGACTACTTGTTACATAGTCTCCGTGTCTGCCAATCAATCATGTCACGGTCGCACCCACAGACCATCAACTGCAACAGCAGTTCTGGGTGCAATCGGAGCCCCAGACTCTCTTCTGCATTCACTCTCTCTCAGTCCAGGCACAGGCCATAGGTTTTAGTCTTTCAACGACTGTTTGCTGAGTACCTGCTGGGTGTCAGGCAGCTGGGAGCTGGCATCAAACAAGAGGACAAGCTCTTGGCCTGGGGGATCTCTGTTCTAGTGAGGGAGACCTTCCCAGCAGCATACATGGTGTCCAGAGGGTGTTCTGAGGGGCCCCCCAGGCATCAATACGCAGTTGTAGCCTGTCCCCTCTGCCCGCCCTGCTCTGGGAAACTCCTTCCCCAGCTCCCCCCGCCACCCACACACACCTGCTTGGCCACCTTGGCCTTCTGTGAGAGGGTCGAGTGTTTCCCACAGTGTACTACGAGCTCATGAGGGCCTAGTCCTGCTTTCAGGAGCCCTGGACAAGGGTGTAAGGAATGTGACCTCTTGGTTTCACCTGTCCCGCTATGCCTCTGCTTCTGTAACTCTGTATCTTCCCTCCTACCTAGTTTCCCCTGGTCACACCAGGTCAGCAGAGCCAA